AAATATAAATTAAAGAATAGCATACGACGTTTCGATTGCAACACAAGCAATCATCATCAGGCGTAAATGAAATAGCAACAAAAATCTAACCAAAAAACATATGTCTGTCTATAGTTTTCTGGTTAGATTCTATGTCGCTATTTCATTTATACCTGATGATGATTGCTTGTGTTGCAATCAAAACGTCGTATGCTATTATTTAATTTATTATTTTATCTTTATACGTGACTTTACCGAAAGAACCAAAGAATTATTATATTGATTTTAGCAAATCACATTGGCTTATTCTATTGATTGTAACATCACATAGGGTGATTATATTAATATTAACAAATTACACGGGGTGATTATATCATGAGAAAATCACGTAGGGTTATTATATTGATATTAACTAATCACACAAGGTTATTATATTTAGTGTAACAAATCACACAAGGTTATTATATTTAGTGTAACAAATCTTACGAGGATACTCTATCTTAGTGTAACACGAAGTTTAGCAAATGTTCAAACAGACGACGAAAACTACTGCTCAAAGCCACCACCGCCACACCAGGTCACTCATTTGAGGCTGAGTCGACCTAGAGGAGGAGGCCCAGGTAACCACTTCAGATAATCGATATCACCGGTGTTGGCTGTGAGCGGGGATCGAACTCGGGTTTGTGTGGTGAGTCTGTGAGTCTCTGTGTGGTGAGTCTATGGGTCTCTGCTGTGTGATGAGTCTATGGGTCTCTGTGTGATGAGTCTATGGCTCTCTGCTGTGTGATGAGTCTATGGGTCTCTGCTGTGTGGTGAGTCTATGGGTCTCTGCTGTGTGATGAGTCTATGGGTCTCTGTGTGGTGAGTCTGTGGGTCTCTGTGTGATGAGTCTATGGGTCTCTGTGTGGTGAGTCTGTGGGTCTCTGTGTGGTGAGTCTGTGGGTCTCTGTGTGATGAGTCTATGGGTCTCTGTGTGAGTGAGTCTGTGGGTGTCTGTGTGATGAGTTTATGGTTCTCTGTGTGAGTGAGTCTATGGGTCTCTGCTGTGTGATGAGTCTATGGGTCTCTGTGTGGTGAGTCTATGGGTCTCTGTGTGGTGAGTCTGTGGGTCTCTGTGTGATGAGTCTATGGGTCTCTTGTGTGATGAGTCTATGGGTCTCTGTGTGAGTGAGTCTGTGGGTGTCTGTGTGATGAGTTTATGGTTCTCTGTGTGAGTGAGTCTATGGGTCTCTGCTGTGTGATGAGTCTATGGGTCTCTGTGTGGTGAGTCTATGGGTCTCTGTGTGGTGAGTCTGTGGGTCTCTGTGTGATGAGTCTATGGGTCTCTTGTGTGATGAGTCTATGGGTCTCTGTGTGAGTGAGTCTGTGGGTGTCTGTGTGATGAGTTTATGGTTCTCTGTGTGAGTGAGTCTATGGGTCTCTGCTGTGTGAAGAGTCTATGGGTCTCTGCTGTGTGATGAGTCTATGGGTCTCTGTGTGATGAGTCTATGGGTTTCTGTGTGTGATGAGTCTATGGGTCTCTGCTGTGTGATGAGTCTATGGGTCTCTGTGTGAGTGAGTCTATGGCTCTCTGTGTGGTGAGTCTATGGGTCTCTGCTGTGTGGTGAGTCTATGGGTCTCTGCTGTGTGATGAGTCTATGGCTCTCTGCTGTGTGATGAGTCTATGGGTCTCTGTTGTGTGATGAGTCTATGGGTCTCTGTGTGGTGAGTCTATGGGTCTCTGCTGTGTGGTGAGTCTATGGGTCTCTGTGTGAGTGAGTCTATGGCTCTCTGTGTGGTGAGTCTATGGGTCTCTGCTGTGTGGTGAGTCTATGGGTCTCTGCTGTGTGGTGAGTCTATGGCTCTCTGCTGTGTGATGAGTCTATGGCTCTCTGCTGTGTGATGAGTCTATGGGTCAGTGGCAGCTCCTGCAAAATCTCTCAGGGAGGGCAAATGTCTGGATGATTGATAAGGATAAGGTCCACCCATGCAATGAATAAATTAACAGCTTAAGCATGTAAAGGCAACTTCACTTCTTTAATATTAATGAAAAATAAAGTGACTCTTACAATACATCTTGTTTGTTTATATACTCACTATTAAAACAAACCACTCAAGTTTATTTTATTAAAGATTCCACTAGGTAGCGATAAATTATATTGTTGGATGAAACGTGCTTACGTATGATGACGTAAGCACGTTCGGGCTTGCCCTCCCGGAAGCCATAGAGAATGCATGGGAGCGCCCCCGTTCGAAAAAAAACATCTTTGAATGTAAGTCTATGGGGCCACTCGGGGCGATTCTCAGCCGGAGTGAAATCGCCCCAAAAGAGGCGGTACTCCACAGAACGTAGCATGACGCTGATTGGACTATATCCAGAGGCTGACAGTGACGGCTAGCGTGACTCTGTGGTTGAATGACATTGGTGGTGCGTCGCCCAATTGCCCTAATGAAGAAACCGCCCCTGGTTGAATGACATTGGTGGTGCGTCGCCCAATCGCCCTAATGAAGAAACCGCCCCTGCTATGGGTCTCTGCTGTGTGATGAGTCTACGGGTCTCTGCCGTGTGAGTCTATGGGTCTCTGCTGTGTGATGAGTCTATGGCTCTCTGTGTAGTGAGTCTATGGGTCTCTATGAGTCTATGACTCTCTGTGGGATGAGTTAAACTTCTTTCGCACCACGCCACGTAGCCCAACCGTTGCCCATCGAAGGCCAATTAACAAACTCAAACAGGCAAAACAAACAAACAATCGACAACAACAACAATAAAAAGCAAATCCGCTCGGAAAAAACTTTCCATGACCCTCAGAGCAAATCCGTTTCTCTCACGGGCGCCGCATCCTGAGGCCTAGTAGGCCGAGGCTCGGAAGGCTTCTCCGGCCCACTCGTCCCCGGGCCTAGTCACGCCGACATCAGCAGACCCCCCTCGCCTTTGGCCGCCTCTTCCGTCGTCGTCGTCGTCGTCGTCGTTGGCAGCTGCTGACAATGTTGTTGATGGTGCTGAGGAGGATTCTCCGGATCGTAGCCTGGGCCCAAGCTCAGGCTTTCTCTTGGGCCTAGGCCGCCTCCTGGGCCTAGTTCGCCTTTTGGGCCTAGGCCTTCTCGTGGGCCTAGACCAGCTCCTGGGCCTAGGCCGCCCCTTGAGACTAGGCCGCCCCTTGGGCCTAGGCCGGCTCCTGGGCCTAGGCCGGCTCTTGAGCCTAGGCCTTCTCCTGGCCCTAGGCCTCCGTCATTGTCGTAGTCTCCGCCGCCGCCGCCGCCCACCAACACGACGCAGTCCGAGTCCTCGGCCGCCGCCCTCGGGCGCTTGGCGAAGGGCCAATCGACGTTGGCCGCGAGGTGGGGGCGGTTGGCGTCGTCGTTGCCGTGGCGGTTGGTGTTGTTGTTGCCGTGGCGGTTGGTGTCGTTGTTGCCGTGGCGGTTGGTGTCGTTGTTGCCGTGGCGGTTGGTGTCGTTGCCGTGGCGGTTGGTGTCGTTTCCGTGGTGGTTGGTGGAGTTGCCGTGGCGGTTGGTGTCGTTGTCGTGGCAGTTGGTGATGGTGGAGGTGGCGGGGTGGAAGGGGGAGGCCGCCTCGAGGCCTCCCTTGAGGCGGCGCTTCGACTCGCGGTCCGGGTAGAGGAGGCAGTGGTAGAGGGGTCCGCCCAGGCAGCCTCCCAGCAGTGGGCCCAGCCAGTAGACCTGCAGCACACGGTGATGGTGGTGGTGGTCGTGGTGGTGGTGGTGATGGTGGTCGTGGTGGTGGTGATGGTGGTCGTGGTGGTGATAGTGATGGTGGTCGTGGTGGTGATGGTGGTCGTGTTGATGGTGATGGTGGTCGTGGTGGTGATGGTGGTGGTGGTGGTCGTGGTGGTGATAGTGATGATGATTGAGGTGGTGGTCGTGGTGGTGGTGATGATGATGATGGTGGTGGTGATGATGGTGGTGGTGGTGATGATGATGGTGGTGGTGGTGATGGTGGTCGTGGTGGTGATAGTGATGATGATTGAGGTGGTGGTCGTGGTGGTTGTGATGATGATGGTGGTCGTGGTGGTGATGGTGGTGGTCGTGGTGGTGATAGTGATGATGATTGAGGTGGTGGTCGTGGTGGTGGTGATGATGATGATGGTGGTGATGATGATGATGGTGGTGGTGATGGTGGTGGTGGTGGTGATGATGGTGGTGATAGTGATGGTGGTGATGATGGTGGTGGTGGTCGTGGTTGTGGTGGTGATGGTGGTGGTGGTGATGGTGGTGGTGATGATGATGGTGGTCGTGGTGGTGGTGATGATGGTGGTGATGATGGTGGTGATAGTGGTGATGATAGAGTCATCCTGTTGTGTGACTTCAATGCCCGAGTTGGTCATGATGCTGGCATCTGGTCTGGAGTGATTGGGAGTCATGGGCCAGATCAGCTTAATAACAACGGTAGGAGGCTGCTAGATTTCTGTGCAGCCCATGGGCTTGTAATTACCAACACGCTGTTCCGGCATCGGCGCATCCACACAACATCATGGATGCATGCCGGGTCCAAGCAAGAACATTAGCTGGACAATGTAGTGACGGAACAGCGGATGTGGGCCCATGTCCTTGACACCAGGACCTACCGTGGAGCTGATCTGCCCACTGACCATCGACTTGTCATCTGCAAGATGCGCCTGCCATTCTTCCACTCCGGTGGTGGGTGTCCATCTAGGACTTCATTTAAACCCACGGTGGCCTGGTCTCAGCTGTCTGGGGATAGTTTCAAGTGGGAGGCAGTCACCCTCTAGCAATAACGGAGGGCAGAGGAGTGAAGCTCACAACAACGAGCGGAGCGGCGGGCGGGGGGTACAGCTGGTGGTGCATCTACCAGTCATCTTGGTCAACCCATGGCACCTGCTGGGTCTGTCCCATGACCTCCTCCTGCACCTAGCCTGGCACAGTAGGGGGTACAGCTGGTGGTGCATCTACCAGTCATCTTGGTCAACCCATGGCACCTGCTGGGTCTGTCCCATGACCTCCTCTTGCACCTAGCCTGGCACAGTAGGGGGTACAGCTGGTGGTGCATCTACCAGTCATCTTGGTCAACCCATGGCACTTGCTGGGTCTGTCCCGTGACCTCCTCCTGCACCTAGCTTGGCACAGTAGGGGGTACAGCTGGTGGTGCATCTACCGATCATCTGAGTCAGCCAACCCATGGCACCTGCTGGGTCTGTCCCGAGACCTCCTGCACCTAGCCTGGCACAGTAGGGGGGGTACAGCTGGTAGGTGCATCTACCGGTTATCTCAGTCAGCTGATCCATGACACCTGCTGGGTCTGTCCCATGACCTCCTGCACCTAGCCTGGCACAGTAGGGGGGGTACAGCTGGTGGTGCATCTACCAGTCATCTCAGTCAGTCAACCCATGGCACCTGCTGGGTCTGTCTCGAGACCTCCTGCACCTAGCCTGGCACAGTAGTGGGGTACAGCTGGTGGTGCATCTACCAGTCATCTCAGTCAGCTGACCCATGGCACCTGCTGGGTCTGTCCCGAGACCTCCTGTCAGCAATGAGTCTTCGACACTTCACGTGGCCTCAAAATGCACCTAGCATGGCACAGGCATCGTGGTGATGTCACTATCGCTTAGTGGCGAATGGCGGCGTATTGGTGTTGGTGGTGATGATGGTGGTGGTAATGTCGGTGATGGTGGTGATGATGGTGATGGTGGTGATGTTGATGGTGGAGGTGATGTTGATAATGATGATGATGGTGGTGATGGTGGTGATGGTGGTGATGATGGTGATGGTGGTGATGGTGGTGCACTATACCCAGTGGTTAGCCCACAGCCCAGACACCACAGCAGAGCCGAGGGAGCGAGCTGGGTTCATGCTGGAGCCGGTGTAGGGCAGCTACATCAACAACATCAACAACAACATCATCATCAACATCATCAACAAGATCTACAACAACATCAATGTCAAGAACATCATCAACAACATCAACAACATCATCATCATCAACATCATCAACAAGATCTACAACAACATCAACAACATCATCAACATCATCATCATCAACAACATCATAGTGACGACGATCGTGATGGTGGTGACAATGATGGTGATGACGATGGTGACGGTGATGATGATGTTGATGTTGACGATGATGTTGTTGATGTTGCTGATGATGTTGATGATGAGCTCACCGCAAACAGGTGCCCCAGCGCCACCGAGAGACCCACGTGGAGGGCGCCGGAGCCTCCCGCGAGGTCGGAGCGTCGCTCGTCCCCGGCGGCGCAGACGGTGAGCACCAGCTGGAGCGTGATGGCCGCCTCCACCAGCACCGCGTGGCTCAGCTGCAGCCTGGAGCTCACCTAGACACACCACACACCACGCCAGGGTGACTGACTGACTGGGTGACTGACTGACTGGGTGACTGACTGAGCGGTGAGCACCAGCTGGAGCGTGATGGCCGCCTCCACCAGCACCGCGTGGCTCAGCTGCAGCCTGGAGCTCACCTGGACACACACGCCAGGGTGACTAGTCACTGACTGACTGACTGGGTGACTGGGTGACTGACTGACTGGGTGACTGACTGAGCGGTGAGCACCAGCTGGAGCGTGATGGCCGCCTCCACCAGCACCGCGTGGCTCAGCTGCAGCCTGGAGCTCACCTAGATACACCACACACCACGCCAGGGTGACTGACTGACTGGGTGACTGACTGACTGGGTGACTGACTGAGCGGTGAGCACCAGCTGGAGCGTGATGGCCGCCTCCACCAGCACCGCGTGGCTCAGCTGCAGCCTGGAGCTCACCTGGACACACACGCCAGGGTGACTAGTCACTGACTGACTGACTGGGTGACTGGGTGACTGACTGACTGGGTGACTGACTGAGCGGTGAGCACCAGCTGGAGCGTGATGGCCGCCTCCACCAGCACCGCGTGGCTCAGCTGCAGCCTGGAGCTCACCTAGACACACCACACACCACGCCAGGGTGACTGACTGACTGGGTGACTGACTGACTGGGTGACTGACTGAGCGGTGAGCACCAGCTGGAGCGTGATGGCCGCCTCCACCAGCACCGCGTGGCTCAGCTGCAGCCTGGAGCTCACCTGGACACACACGCCAGGGTGACTAGTCACTGACTGGGTGGGTGGGTGACTGGGTGACTGACTGACTGACAGGGCGACTGACTGACTGGGTGACTGACTGACTGACAGGGTGACTGACTGACTGCCAGGGTGACTGACTGACTGGGTGACTGACTGACCAGGTGACTGACTGACTGACTAACTGACTGCCAGGGTAACTGACTGACTGACTGCCACGGTGACTGCGGTGCGGTGACCAACAGCTGGAGCCTGGGACTCACCTGGTCCACCATCACCTGGCTGAGTGTCTGGTGGAGTGTCCATCTGGCTGAATGTCTGGTCCAGTGTCCATCTGGTCAAGTGTCTGGTTCATTGTCCAGTCCTCCCATGGCCATCTGGTGGAGTATCTGGTTGGCCATCTGGTGGAGTATCACGTGGAGTATCTGGTTGACTAGCTGTTGGATCATCTGGTTGACTATCTGGTGGAGTATCTGGTTAACCGTCTGGTTCACTATCTGCTGGACCATCTGGTGAAGTATCACGTGGAGTATCTGGTTGATTATTTGGTGAAGTGTCTGGTTGGCCATCTGGTGGAGTATCTGGTTGATTATCTGGTGGAGTATTTGGTTGATTATCTGGTGGAGTATCACGTGGACTATCTGAGTATCTGGAAGAGTATCTGGTGGATTATCTGGTGGACAATCTGGTTGGCTATCTGGTGTAGTATCTGGTGAAGTGCCTGGTTGACTATCTGGTTGATTGTCGGATTATCTGGTTCACTGTCTGATGGATTATCTGGTTGACTATCTGGTGGAGTATCACGTGGAGTATCTGGTGGAGTATCTGGTGGAGTAGCTGGTTGGCCATCTGATGACCATCTGGCTGGCCATCTGGTGGAGTATCTGGTTGATTGTTGGATTATCTGGTTCACTATCTGATGGATTATCTGGTTCACTATCTGGTGGATCATCTGGTTGACTATCTGGTGGAGTATCACGTGGAGTATCTGGTTGGCCGTCTGGTTGACTATCTGGTTGACTATCTGGTTGACTATCTGGTTGGCCATCTGGTTGACCATCTGGTGAAGTATCACGTGGAGTATCTGGTTGATTGTCTGTTGGATTATCTGGTTCACTATCTGATGGATTATCTGGTTGACTATCTGGTGGAGTATCACGTGGAGTATCTGGTGGAGTATCTGGTGGAGTATCTGGTTGGCCATCTGATGACCATCTGGCTGGCCATCTGGTGGAGTATCTGGTTGATTGTTGGATTATCTGGCTCACTATCTGATGGGTTATCTGGTTGACTATATGGTGAACTATCTGGTTGACAATCTGGTGGACCATCTGGCTGGCCATCTGGTGGAGTATCTGGTTGCTGGAGGATTATCTGGTTCACTATCTGATGGATTATTTCGTTGAATATCTGGTGGAGTAACTGGTGGAGTATCTGGTTGGACCATCTGGTGTACTATCTGTATCTACCCCCCCGCCCCCCCCCCACTCACGAGCGTGGCCCCCAGGTCCCCGGCTACGTCCCCCGGCGTGACGAGCAGCAGCAGCGCGGCCCCCAGCGTGGCGCCGAGGCTCTGGGCGGCCACGTAGGCGACGCCGCGGCTCAGCGGCACGCGGCGAGCCACCAGCAGGGCGGCCGTCACCGCCGGGTTGAGGTGGGCCCCGCTCGCGCCGCCCAGGCACTGGGCTAGGGCGGCCACGGCCAGGCCGAAGCACAGAGACACCTGGGGGGGGGGGGTGGGGGGTGAGGGGGGTGAGGGGTGAGGGGGGTGAGGAGGTGAGGGGTGAGGGGGGTGAGGGGGGGCAGAGTGGTGGGTCAAGCACTGGGTCACTGCAGCCATCACTGGAGCCATGATGGGGTGTCAGTGTCACAGCTGCTACTACACCTACTACTACTACACCTACTACTACTGCTACACCTGCAACTACTACTACACCTACCACCACTACTCCTACCACCACCACCACCACTACACCTACCTATCTACCACCACTACCATCACCACTACACCACCACCACCACCCCGACCACCACTACACCCACCACCACCACACCTACCACCACCCACCACCACCACCACGACACCCACCACCACCACCACTACACCTACCACCACTACACCCACCACCACTACACCTACCACCACCACTACACCCACCACCACCACCACTACATCCACCACCACCACCACCACTACACGTGCCACACCTGCACGTAGGAGGCAGGGTGCTGTTCGCTCCACGTGAGGGTAGACCCGGCTCCCAGCATGACGAGCAGGGCGGTGCCCAGCAGCTCCGCCAGCAGAGACCTCCAGAATCGCTGCGTCCACACGCCCCGGCAGGCGGTCATCGCTGCCGTGACCCCCTTGACCCCTACTCCTGGTGGTGGTGGTGGTGGTGCTGATGGTGGTGGTGGTGGTGCTGATGATGATGGTGGTGATGGTGTTGCTCCACACAGAGAAGCAGCAGCAGTGGCAGCAGTCGCGAGGCAGCGGTAACAGCTGTTGTTGTTGATGTTGTTGATGTTGTTGTTGATGTTGTTGATGTTGTTGATGTTGTTGATGTTGTTGTTGCAGAGCGAGCGGAGACGACGCGAGAAGCAGTTGGAGGGGGAGGGGGTTGGGGCGGTGAGCAGAGGGGAGTACTCAGTCAGTCAGTCACTCACTCAGTCACTCACTCAGTCACTCAGTCAGTCACTCACTCACTCACTCAGTCACTCAGTAAGTCACTCAGTCACTCACACACTCAGTCACTCACTCAGTCACTCACTCACACACTCACTCACTCACCCACTCACTCAGTCACTCACTCACACACTAAGTCACTCACTCACTCAGTCACTCACTCAGTCACTCACTCACACACTCACTCACCCACTCACTCAGTCACTCACTCACATACTCAGTCACTCACTCACACACTCAGTCACTCACTCAGTCACTCACTCACTCAGTCACTCACTCACCCACTCATCCACTCACTCACCCACCCACTCACCCACTCACTCACTCACCCACTCACTCACTCACCCACTCACCTAGCCAGGCAGCTCGAGTGTGACTGGTGAGTGTCTGCTGATGATGTGGAGAGAGACCAGGTCTCAGGAATAGCTCTGCTTGCCACGCCGCTCATCACCACTCAGTCACTCACTCACACACTCACTCAGTCACTCAGTCACTCACTCACACACTCAGTCACTCACTCACTCACTCAGTCACTCAGTCACACACTCAGTCACTCACACACTCAGTCACTCACTCAGTCACTCACTCAGTCACTCACTCACCCACTCACTCACCCACTCACTCACCCACCCACTCACTCACCCACTCACCTAGCCAGGCAGCTCGAGTGTGACTGGTGAGTGTCTGCTGATGATGCTGCTGCTGATGATGCTGCTGCTGATGATGTGGAGAGAGACGAGGTCTCAGGAATAGCTCTGCTTGCCACGCCGCTCATCACCACTCAGTCACTCACTCAGTCACCCACTCACTTACCCACTCACCCACTCACCCACTCACCCACTCACACACTCAGTCACTCACTCAGTCACCCACTCAACCACCCACTCAGTCACTCACTCAGTCACTCACTCAGTCACTCACTCACTCACCCACTCACCCACTCACACACTCAGTCACTCACTCAGTCACTCACTCACTCAGTCACCCACTCACTCACCCACTCAACCACCCACTCACTCACACACTCAGTCAGTCACTCACCCACCCACTCACTCACCCACTCACCTAGCCAGGCAGCTCGAGTGTGGATGGTGAGTGTCTGCTGCTGATGCTGATGCTGCTGATGCTGCTGATGATGTGGAGAGAGACCAGGTCTCAGGAATAGCTCTGCTTGCCACCCCGCTCATCACCACTCCACGTCGCCCGCGCTCGGCTACCCGAGCTGTGTGCCAATCTCGCGCGGGTGGATACACACACACAGACACCTACACACACAGAGATATACACAGACACACACCTACACACACACACACCTACACACACAGATACACACACACCTACACACCCTTACACACAGATATACACACAGATACACACACACCTACACACACACACAGATATAAATATACACACACCTACACACACCTAGACACACACACAGATACACACACACACCTACACACACAGAGATATAAATATACACACACCTACACACACCTAGACACACACACACAGAGATACACACACACACCTACACACACAGAGATATAAATATACACACACCTACACACACCTAGACACACACACAGATACACACACACACCTACACACACCTACACACACAGAGATATAAATATACACACACCTACACACACACAGAGATACATACACACACCTACACACACACACCTACACACACATAGATATACACAGACACACACACACCTACACACAGACAGACACACACACACACCTACACACAGACACACACATACACCTACACACACACCTACACACACACCTACACACACACACCTACACACACACACAGACACACACACACACCTACACACACATCTACACAACTATAAACACAGATACACACCTAAATACACACACACCTACACACACAGAGAGAGATGACACACACAGGCACACACACAGACAGATACATCTACACACAGACAGACACACACAGACACACACACACACAGTCACACAACAACAACAACTGCTTGTGCCAGGCCAAGTGCACCTTGAGGCCACGTGAAGTGTCGAACGCCCGCTGGCAGGAGGTCACGGGGCAGACCCAGCAGGTGCCACGGGTCGACTGACTGAGTCGACCGAGACGACTGGCTGATGCACCACCTGTGCCCCCTACTGTGCCTATTTGTTCTGCTTTAGCCACATGGCGCTCCGCTCGTTGTTGTGAGCGTCGTTCCTCCGCCCATTTCCCTTTGACATCTGGAGGAGTGGGGGACGATGGCAACTCCAGCCGCAAGCGATGATGAAATTCTCACTTGCAACTTCCATCAGCTAGCTGAGATCAGGCCACTAAGGGTTTGAATGGGGTCCTGGGTGTACACCCACCACCGGAGTGGAAGAATGGCAGGCGCATCTTACAGATGACAAGTCGATGTTCAGTGGGCAGATCAGCTCCACGGAAGGTCCTGGTGTCAGGAACATGGGCTCGCATCCGCTGGTCCGTCACTACGTAGTCCAGCAGATGTTCTTGCTTGGACCCGACATGCATCCATGTTGTTGTGTGGATGCGCCGATGCCGGAACAGCGTGTTGGTAATTACAAGCCCATGGGCTGCACAAAAATCTAGCAGCCTCCTACCGTTATTATTGAGCTGATCTGGCCCATGCCCTCCAATCACTCCAGACCAGGTGCCAGCATCATGACCAACTCGGGCATTGAAGTCGCCCAACAAGATGACTATCCCGAGTGGCCACTTTATCCAGCACCTGTGACAGGAGGTCATAGAAGGCATCCGACTCATCGGCTTTGCCTGCATCCCTCCACAGATGTTCGTCTTCGGTGGGGGCATAAGAAACCACGACCACCACTCCTCGCCTCCGGTTGATGGGAAGTCGAGCCCAAAGTAGCCTGGGGCTTACAGCTTCCCACACCTCACCACCACGCTCCCACGCCCCCTTCATTCTTTTGTTCAGAAGAAGAGCCACTCCCTGTTGTTTGGCAGTCTCCTGCCCCGAGTAGAGGACTGTCCACCCCTCATGGTGGCAGGAGCCAGAGCCGGTCCACCGGACCTCCTGAATACCACAGAGATCCAGGCGGTACCGTTTCAGCTCCCGACAGAGGAGCGCCAGCCTCTTCTCTGCAGTGAGCGTTCGAACATTCCACGTTGCCATCCAAAATGGCTTTTTGTTGTTTCTGGAGGAGCCCCGATGGTAAAGATTCAGTCTCCTGGCTCCGCCAATTGGGGTTTGGCCAGGAGACGTCATAGACGCCTGTCCCCCAGGAGCCTCCAGCACATGCTTATTAATAAAAAAATTCCGTCGTGGTTTAGCGGTTATTAATTGAAGGTGGAGGGGTTGCCAGCCCCTCGCACCCGTCGAGAGCCCCCTTTTAGCCGCTGTGGTGGTCACAGACGCCATGAGGGGAGAGGCCAATGGGCATTGGCCCTCCCCCCACAGCACTGCCCACGACAGTGTTGCCCGTCCGGCACCGCGAGGAGGTAGGGGATTATTTTGCTGGACACACATACACACATCTACACACACAGATACACACACACAAACCTACACACACACACCTACACACACACCTACACACACATCTACATACACAGATACACACACACACCTACACACTCAGACAGACACCTACACACACACACCTACACACAGACAGACCCCTACACACACCTACACACACAGACACACACCTACACACACACATCTACACACACACACACCTACACACACACATACACACATCTACACACACAGTCACACACACAAACCTACACACACACACCTACACACGCACATCTACACACACACCTACACACACACACATACACACACACCTACACACACATCTACATACACAGATACACACACACACCTACACATACACATCTACACACAGTCACACACCTACACACATCTACACACACACCTACACACAGACACACACCTACACACACACATACACACACAGTCACACGTACACACACACAAACCTACACACACACACCTACACACACACATCTACACACACACACACCTACACACACACATCTACACACACACACCTACACACACATCTACACACACACACACCTACACACACACACACCTACACACACACATCTACACACACACACCTACACACATCTACACACACACACACCTACACACACAGATACACACACACAGACAGACACCTACACACACACACTACACACAGACAGACCCCTACACACACACCTACACACACACCTACACACGCACATCTACACACACACAGACACACACCGACACACACACACATCTACACACACATACACACAGTCACACACGTACACACACACCTACACACACACACCTACACACACATCTACACACACACCTACACACAGACAGACACCTACACACACACAATGTTCGCACACTGTACCACTGTTCTAAATTTAAGGCTGAGTCGTCCTAAGGGAGGGCCAGCCACAGGGTCGAATATCACTCGCCAGCGATGTCGGTTGCGAAGGGGAATGTGCACCGCGCTAACCGCTGCGCCACCACTCCCCCGATCACACAAGCTACACCACACGCTACACTACACGCTACACTACACACACCTACTACACGCTACACTACACACTATACACTACACACTACACTATACACTCCACTACACACACCACTACACTATACACTACACGCTACACTACACACTACACGCTACACTACACTATACACTACACGCTACACTACACACTACACTACACACTACACTACACTATACATTACTACACTACACTATACACTACACTACTACACACTACACTACACGCTACGCTACACGCTACGCTGCACACTACACACTACATTACACACTACACTACACGCTACACTACACGCTACACTACACACTACACTGCACACTACACACTACACTATACACTACTACACTATACACTACTACACTATACACTATATACTACACTACACGCTACACTACACTATACACTACTACACTATACACTACACTATACACTACTACACTATACACTACACTATACACTACTACACTATACACTACACTATACACGATGAAGAAAATCCCCCATGTTGCCTTATCGCACTGTTGGGGCAAGCAGCAGAAATGGTGGTGGTGGTGGTGGAGATGGAGGTGGTGGATGGTGATGGTAGTGATGATGGTGGTGGTGGAGGAGGTGGTGGTGGAGGTGGTGGTGGTGATGGTGGTAGTGATGGAGGTGGTGGAGATGGTGGTGGTGGTGGAGATGGAGGTGGTGTTGGTGGTGGAGGAGGAGATGGTGGTGGTGATGGAGGTGGTGGTGAAGGTGGTGATGGAGGCGATGGTGGTGGTGATGAAGGTGGTGGTGGAGATGGTGGTGATGGTAATGGAGGTGATAGTGGAGGTGGTGGTGGAGATGATGGTGGAGGTGGTGGTGGAGATGGAGGTAGTGGTGGGAATGGAGGTAATGGTGGAGGTGGTGATGGTGGTGGAGGAGGAGGTGGTGGTGGTGGAGGTGGTGATGGTGGTGGTGGTGGTGGAGGAGGTGGTAGTGATGGAGGTGGTGGTGGAGGTGGTGGAGGTGGTGGAGGAGGTGGTGGTGGTGATTATGGAGGTGGTGATGGTGATGGTGGTGATGATGGAGGTGGAGGAGGTGGTGGTGATGGAGGTGGTGGTGGTGGTGGAGGTGGTGGTGGAGGTGGTGGTGGTGATGATGGAGGTGGTGGTGGTGATGATGGTGATGATGGAGGTGGAGGAGGTGGTGGTGATGGAGGTGGTGGTGGTGGTGGAGGTGGTGGTGGTGGAGGTGGTGGTGGTGATGATGGAGGTGGTGGTGGTGATGGTGGTGATGATGGAGGTGGTGGAGGAGGTGGTGGTGATGGAGGTGGTGGTGGTGGTGGAGGAGGTGGTGGTGGTGATGGAGGAGGTGGTGGTGGTGGTGGTGGTGATGGAGGTGGTGGTGGTGGTGGTTGTGAGTCACATCAAGACTGAATTGCTGCACCACACCTGTCACCAGACCCAGGGCTCGAACTCAGGTACTCAGTGTCTCCGACACGGCCATTATGAACCCCCGTGTATCTGTGTGTGTGTCTCTGTGTGAGTGTCTGTGTGTCTGTCTTCAGGTCTTCTCGGCCACGGTCATTCCCTCTCTTCTCTACACTTGCGAAACGTGGACCCCCCCTAATGGAGCATCTTCGCCGGTTGGAAACATTTAGGCTGGCCTGCCT